TTTCAGCTTTGTTTTTGGTGATGAATTGGAGATAAGAATCTCATGGACTTCCCTGCTCAGGCTGGTTTTGAACCTCCATTCTTAGGTCTTGAGTAGTTAGAATTATAGGTGTGAGCCATCAGTGCCCAGTTCGCTCACTTGCCCTTCTCCCCTCCTCTCTCTTTCTCTTCCTCCCTCCCTCCCTTCGTCTTCCCTCCCTCCCTCCCTTCCTTCCTTTTTTTGTGCCAGTCCTGGAGCTTGAACTCAGCAGTCTTGGCCCTATCCCTGAGCTTCTTTTGCTCTACTTCTGGCATTTGGTGGTTAATTAGATATAAGAGTCTTGTAGATTTTCCTGCCTGGGCTGGCATTAAATGGTGATCCCCGATCTCAGCCTTCTGAGTAGCTAGGATTACAGGTGTGAGCCTCAGGTTACCCTCTTCTTTTCTTTTTCTAATGAATGTAGGAAGGTGATGGGAAATTTTCTGCAAAGAGAGAAGTCAGAATCTGTCTTTCTCTGCCCATGTTACCCCTTTACCCTCCCTCTGTGCCTTAGATAGCTTTCCTGTCACTCTGTCCTCTCATGAAGGCAGTGAGGACCATGACACCATGTAGACTTTCACTGTGTTCATTTGTATGTTTCTAGCAGCAGACTCATGGTTTCTTGCATTCTGACTCTGGTCAGTGGATTGCAATTCAATCTGATCACCATTTATTTTATATTGAGGCTGTCTGGGGTTTGGCCAGTGGGAGGCTCTTCAGAGGAGCCCCAGGTCCTTGTGACATTGAGTGTTCCTGTTCCTTTACTATTGAGGCAAAAGGAAGGAAAGGTGATCATTGCTAGCTGGGAATGTCCGTGCAATAGCTATATACACACATTTATATCAGTCCTTACTCTGTGTGTGAGTGTGTGTGTGTGCGTGTGCGTGTGTGTGCGTGCTGGTACTGGGGCTTGAATTTAGGGTCTGACTGCTGTCCCTGAGCTCTTTCTATAAAAGCTGGTACTCTATTACTTGAGCTGCAGCTCCACTTCTTGCTTTTGGGAGGTTAATTGCAGATAAGAGTCTCACCGACTTTCCTACTCAGGCTGGCTTCAAACTACCATCCTCATATCTCAGCCTCCTGAGTAGCTAGGATTGGCCCCAAGCCTTGTTCTTGAGCCCTGTCTGCCTTTAGTATTCTTTTTTTTTTTTTTTTTTTTTTAGCTATGGGGCTTGAACTCTGGGCCTGGGTACTGTTCCTGAGCTCTTCAGCTCAAGGTGAGTGCTCTACCACTTGAGCCACAGTGTCACTTCCAGTTTGGTGGTTAATTGGAGATAAGAGTCTTAGGGACTTTCCTGCTTAGGCTGGTTTTGAACTGTGATCCTCAGATCTCAGCTTCCTGAGTAGCTAGGATTACAGGTGTGAGCCACCAGCACCCAGCTAGTTAGCCAGTCATATTAGGTTAAGGCCAAAACACCATGCAGTGACTCACTTTTGTCTTAGTGCCTTGGCTCTTTTCCTGCCTAGGAAACCTCTGGTTTCTCTTCAAGTCACAGACGATGTCAAATTCTCAGTGATCTGTGGACTCTGTTGTCCCCTGTTGGTGCCACATGTGGATGAATGAGAGAGCGTGGGGCAGAATGGATGTGTCCCAGTTTCCAGTGATAGACTCGAGGATTTGACATTATAGTGTGACTCATTGTGGGCCTCACCTGGATTGCCTAGCCTCTCATATTGATCTCACTTTGCTGATGTGGACCTTACTATTTGTCCTCCATCATTTTGTTCTTGGGGATCCCAAGTGTCAGAAGCCAGGGAGAGGCCATCAGGGCAGCAATGAGCTCTGAGGATGTGGCAAAGCTGGGTTTGAATTGGACAAATATTCTCATCTGAGAGAGGATCAAGGCAAATCAGGTGTTGGACAGAACTCTGTATCCAGGTGCTGGTGGCTCACGCCTGTAATCCTAGCTACTCAGGAGATTGAGATCTGAAGATCACAGTTTAAAGCTGTCGGAGCAGGAAAGTTCCTGAGGCTCTAACCTCCAATTAAACAACTCCTAAAAAGTTGAAAGGAGAGGAGAGATGTGGCTCAGTGATGGAGTGGTAGTCTTGAGTGAAAAAACTCAGGTACAGCACCCAGGTCCTGAGTTAAAGCTCTAATACTGGCAAAAAGAAGGAAAAGAAAGAAAGAAAGAAAAGGAAAAGGTGCTGTGAGCAGCACTGCTTATGCCCTGTGTGGAAAATCCCAGCAGAAGGTTCAAGCTTGCAGATGGGAGGCGCAAGGCAGCAGACCACATGGAGGGATGGGTTATGCCTGCAGCCTCAGCCATATGTACTTTCAGGATGATCGGTGATTCGAGTAGAAGTGTGTTAGGTGGGATTTTCAGAATGGATCTTCAATGGAGTCTCCCAAGTCCTTTCTGTTTTTAGTCAACAATAAGAAGGGCAAGAAACTTAGAACCCTGGAGAGAGCACGGGGACACAGAGGGAGCCACCAGCACCCAGCCTGAGTGCAGTTCTTAGTGAACCTTGCTTGGTGCAGAGCCTGGGCTGTCATGCAAGGCACGTTCTCATCATCATGTTTGAGGGCTGTCTACCTAAACTCAAGATTCCTTTGGCTGGTTCCCATGTGCTCCCTGTCAAGGGGGATGGATGGCAGAGCCTACTGACTTATGCAGATCTTTTATTCCCTTCTCTGGAATGAAGTGGGATGCTGACCATTGCACAGACTTCTCTGCAAAGCTAAGGGCACCTTAGCTCTGTACTGATGTCCAGGGTGTGTTGGGATGCAGGAATACAAGCATCTCTGTCAGCATGGGTACCACTGCTGCCCTGTGAGTCACAGGACCACTCTCCATGGTGTTTGAATTAAATAGCCATGCAGTGGCTCCCAGCTAGGTTTTGTTCTGTGTACACCTCTGACAAACAGCACAGTAGCTTAGCTTGTAGACACTGTTGTGCACTTATCTTGGGTTAGAAGTGAGGAATACAGAATGACCAGCACAGATGTGTTTTCAGGGGTCCCTCAGGAATTTGGAGGGCAAAATGTATATGTAGGAATAAGACCAAGAGACTTCTGCTAAAAGGTTTGAGGAAGCTATAGGAAAAAAAGAGTAATGATGAATGAATGCGGAAAACTGAATGAAGGCTGGATGCAGACAAGGATGAATAATAGTCTCACTTGATTGATGGGGAGAGCACGTGATCACTGAGGGAGGTATTGGACGCAGGCTGGTGTGTTCTAGCCAAGGAAGCATGTTTTGCTTCTCTTTCTTTTTTTCTTTCTGGTTGAAAGTTGAAGAGCAGCCTTTGCCACTCCGCTGCAGAAACGGAAAGATGGATATTTAGTGCCAGAACCTGAAAGATTGAATTGATGACTGGAATTTACACATGTGGTAGCCATAAAGACTCCGCACAGCCCACCCACACTGTTCTACTAGTTGAAGGCATCTGGGCTTTCAGACCTGAAGTTTGAGTGTTAGACCCTCAGAGACTGAGCTCTGGGACACCACAGATCAGTAGAACTGCTCATAGGCTGGGGCTGGTGCCAAGGCCACAAGGGCCCCATTGCTAGAGCTGTGTGCCAAAGCCAGCTTCAGGCTCCTGTGCAGAGGTCTTGATTGCTCCCCTCATAGATGCAAGACAGTGGCTTTGGCTTGAGACCATCCTTCTTCAAAGCAGCCTTTCAAGTTTTCTCAGAAGTTAGACTTGCCACCCAGCTTCTTGCAGGGGGGTCCCTGTCTGCTACAAATGCCCCTGAGAACACAGTCTTGTGGAAATCCCACTGGTGTCTTGAGAGTGGCAGTCTGACCATCCTGCCCATGCTCCCCTCTTGGATTTTCTTTCCTTTGTTTCCTTTTTGCCATGCTTGAACTTAGGGCCTGGGTGCTGTCCCCTGAGCTCTTTTTGCTGAAGGCTGGCGCTCTACCACTTAGACCACAGCTTCACTTCCGGCTTTTTGGTGATTAACTGGATGGAGATAAGAGTCTCATGGACTTTACTGACTGGGGCTGATTTCCAACTGCAGTCTAAAGATCTCAGCTTCCTGAGTAGCTAGGGTTACAGGCATGTGCCACCGGTGCCTGCCACCTCTCCTGGCTTTTTAAAGAGACTTTCACACTTTGTTTCCCAATTTGCTTTTCCTCCACCCTTGTAACTTTGGCCTCCCTCATTCTAGGTTTCTAATTTCCTTCTAAAATTTCAAGCAGGCAGCGAAAGCCAGGGCTGAATCGTGGATTGTCTTGGTGCTGGGGTGTGGCTGGGGAGGGCAGGCATTTGCTTGGGGCTTTGCACGAAATGCCCACTGGTCATCGATGTTCTCCAGCAAGAGCACCCTGTTTGGTTTTATTTCGTTGAAGAGGAAAATGGGAACAACCGCCGCCACTACCCCCTTTTTGCATTCGCATTTTCCTTCTTTCTATTCCAAATGCGCAGCTTGCGGGGTGGTGCGGATCTCGGGGAGACCCTGCCCCGCACGCCTCAGGACTGAAACCAAGTTCCGGGTTGGGTTCTTTGAAATCTGTGGGTCAGCGCGCGGAGAGAAGTTTGAGATCCCAGGGAGGGAGAACCCCCAGCCTCGGAGCTCCAGTCCGAGGGCGGCGGGACGGCGCGGCCCCCCTGCCTGGAAGGCGTTTCCTCGCCCACTCCCCCCCCCCCTTCCCGTGTCTGGCGGAGCCGCCAGCACTGCGGTCTGGGCGGAGGAGGGAGGGAGGGGGGGAGGACTAGTTTGTGTCAGGGGGAGGAAGGGGGGAGGGAGGGCTAATTCGTGTCAGATGCCGGGACGCCGCGCGGGGCCGGGCGCTCGCGCCTGGCTTTTGTTCCTGGAGTCTGACTGGTGCCCAGGAGTGGCCGTGGGGGCGGCGCGCGGCGCGGACGGGCTGAGCCTCCCCGAGCCTTGGGGGGCCTTTCCGTTCTGCCCATTTCCTGGGACCTGCAGAGGGAGGAGGCTCCGGAGACCTCCGCGGCCGAGCTCGGGTGGGGAGCGGGTTCTGGCCCCGCCAAGTCCCCCCTGCCGACGGCGGGGGACAGCCATGCGGTTGCGCGCTCTGACCCCGGGGCCATCGGCCAGGTTCGCGCGCGAGACCGGGGCGCGCGGACGCCGGCGCCAGGTGAGAGTGCGCGCCGGGCGAGGACAGGGAGGGACCTGGACCGGGGTCCCTAGGGGTGCAGAGTCTGCGGCGCTGGGGGCGGCGTGGGGCCCGGGATTCTTTCGGGCTGCATCCTTGTGGGCCATGTGGACCGTTCGCGCGTGTTCGGGCGCGCGCGGGCGGTGTGTGTCCCGGCGGCAGCGTGCGTGTCTCCATGTCCTGTGCGCCCTGCTTTGCACCCTTCTCCGGAGCAGCGGAGGAGCGCGGCTTTGCCCAGCGGGGGCGGGGAGGGGGCGGGGAGGCGGTGCAGGTTAGCTGACTGTGTTTCCTTGGCGTTTTCCCCTCCTCTGGAATGCAAGTGGGACACTGGCCGTGGGGCACCGGCGTGGGCACTAATGATGCTCTGCACCGTTTGTTTTGTTTCGTGCAAAAGCAAAGGGCGCTTGAGCCTTGGGATGTGCTGAGACACAGGCGTAGTGTAAGCCGAGGCTGGGCCTTGGGGACCCCCGCACCCCAAGCTCCACAGATGTGCCCTGCAGTTGGCATTAAACTGGAGCTGCGTGACTTCTCACCACCCTTCAGTGTGCGGGGGTGGGGGGTGTTCTCAAAGTCCAAGGATCTCTTCATAATTGGCGTTTGTGTTCCTGGAAACTTTCGTAAAATTCCGGAGAGAGAAAGGTTGTCAACATGCCAGCTAGTTTACTCGATCTGAACTGCAGCTGCATTTTGATTTTCAGTGTAGCAGCCAAACTCTCGCATTGGAATGGTAGGGAACGAACGTTGAAATCGTAGGGAACAGATGAATACAGAGCTCTCTCCCCCTCCCACCCCCCCACCCCCTTCCCTTCTGCCCCAGGTACTGGTGGCCCTGTGGGATGGGAAAGTTCTCTGAGATGTGGGATCAACTCAGAGGATGTGGGAAGTGTTCGTGTCTGTTTAATTTCAGAGTCAAGTTGAGCTGAGAAATGTGTTTTTGATCAAGGCCTGCCTCCCAGAATTCTAGGCAGGGGCCCCAGCTACCCAAATGCCCCTAAATCCTCTTCCTGTGGTGGGTGAATATTTCCTGAAAGGAAAATGTAGCTGGGTCTGTGCAGATGGAGCCCCGTAGTGTTGTTGGGTTTGTAACTATTTTGCCACTATCGACCTTTAGTGGGGGAGCACTTAGCTGGGAGGTCCCTGCCTGGGCGGGTTTTGCATTTGGGTAGAATGGAGCATGCGCGTTTAAGCGCCATCTCCTTGTCTAATTTTGGAGATTCCCCCCTCCCCTCAAAAGAGAACTCATAATCAAGACTAATTACCCGAGTTGCCCTCAGGGAGTCCTTGTGGAACCAGCAGCCTGGCTTGCTACATTTCCAAAGTTGGACTCTTTAACTATTAAATGCAATTTACATTCTTCAGTGCGAGCTTGCTAACTAACTGCCTCCACATTGCTTCCTGCCCCCCCACCCCCCACTGGTGGGAGAAATGAAAACAGTGTATCAGGTGAAGACCAGGGCAGTCCAATCCTGTCCAGTCTCCTTTCAGGAGAGATGTTATGTATGGAGTCCGGGAGTTTGTGTGTGTTATTACATGATCTTTAAACGAAACTCCCCAGGGCCCAGCAGTGGAAGGGGCGGTGCCTGGACCTCAGTTTGCATCTCTGCGGCTCTTGCTGTGGACTCTGGGGTAAGAAGACTGCAGGGAAATACTTCTTTCCCCTTGCTTGGAATAAAGGGGTTTGTAAGGAATGAAAGATCACAGTATCCCTCCTTGGCTGGTGCCCTGTGGTTAGTTCATTTGGTGCACAGACATGAACTGAGGAGTCCATGGTCCACTGTCTGCCAGCCAGGCAGAGCCCATAGGGGACAAAGGGGGAAGAGCAGGTGTTCTGCATCTAGGAAATGGCCACACAGGAGAGAAGGCAAGTAAGCAAATAACGCATGTGCTCTAAATAGCTCCAGTATGCCAGCTGAGGCATTACTAGGATATTTGTCAAACTTTTTTTTTTTTTTTTGGGTAGTACCAGTACTGGGGCTTGAACTCAGGACCTCCTGCTCTTGTTTGGCTGGCCTTCCTTCCTTCCTTCCTTCCTTCCTTCCTTCCTTCCTTCTTTCCTTTCTTAATTCCTTTCTTCCTTTTTGTTCAAGGCTGGTGCTCTACCACTTGAGTCATAACTCCACTTCTGGCTTTATTTATTCTGGTTAATCAGAGAAAAGAGTCTCATGGACTTTTCTGTCTGGGCTGGCTTTGAAACATGCCTGATCCTTAGATCTCAGCTTCCCAAGTAGCTAGGATTACCTTGTCCCTCAGTCACTGGTTGTATATGTCTTGTGTGTTACCATCTCCAGCTGCTGGTACTGATCATGGTTAAAACAGAGAGGTGGATTAGTGTCTGGTGGTCAGTTCCCCTTGAGGTGAATGTCCCATTTTAACTTGAAATAGAAACTTTATTCTTTTAAGAATTATTTATTTAATTGATTTTTTTTTTATTATTTTCAAGTAGTTGTGTTAAAAGGTTTTGCTTTAATCAGCATGTCAGGTGATGAGTACAGGGCATCTTAATACCACTCCTTTCATCATTCCTACCAATTCTCCCTACCCTACCCATCCCCTCCATTTTCCTAATTCCATTTTAGTAGCAGTATGGTATGGTTACTCTTTTTGAAGGGTGTTGGGCCCATAGTAAAAGCTGTAAGGTATTCACTTTTGGAATAGTCAAGACGCAGTATAGGAAGGAGTCTAATCACAGAACCCTATACAAGTGGAGACTCTTGTAGTACAGGCTATATCCATCCACACTGAGGGGGTCTCAGCTGCTTTAGAACCCCCTAGTGAGCTTGGACAACTTTCCAGTGTTTTGGCCCCACCTCCAGATTTCATTGGTCTGGCCGAGAGCCCCAGGCCAACCTCTTTTTAAAACTGCCCAGGTTATTCCTTGGTGTTGTTACACTGTGTCCTGTTAGGTCCTTGACAGGCTGTTAAGAGGCAGGAAGAGAAGAAGGAAGGGGAGGGTTATCTCCATTTCTCATTGGTTGTGGCTTGCCACTCAGCCTGTATCATAGGTGGCAAAACCATTTCCAAGGCTTTCTGCTTGGTTCAAGGCACTCTCCCCTTTTTCTTTTTTAAATCTATCTTGATTTTATCATCATCACATACACAGGGAGATAATGTGACTAATTATCAAGACTGCTGGGGATCATGAAGTGGTTGAGAAGGACTGAGAGGAGGCTGGGAAGACATAGAAATGGTCTTGGGTAGAAAACTACAAGTAGGGCTGGGAAGGTGGCTCAGTGGTAGAGTGCTTGCCTTGCATGCCTGAGGCCCTGGGTTCGATTCCTCAGCACCACATAAGCAAAAAAAAAAAAAAAAGCCAGAAAACTACAAGTAACCAAGCACCAGTGGCTCCCGCCTATAATCCTAGGTACTCAGGAGACTGAGATCTGAGGAGCTGGGTCAAAGCCAGCCTGGGTATGAAAGTCCTAAGATGCTTATCTCCAATTAACCACTCAAAAGCTACAAATGGAGGTATGGCCTGAGTGATAGAGTTCCAACCTGGAGTGAAAAAGCTAAGGGACAGGGCTCAAGTCTTGAGTTCAAGCCTAAGTACTGGAACACACGGGAAGAAAGAAGGAAGGAAGGAAAACAAGTTATCAGACAGCTTTAATAGCAGGGAATGACAGGGATGGTCCTGGAGCATGCTTTAGAAGTTGAATAGCATCTTGGAATCTATCCCCTCTGTACATCACATCCTTTTAGTGGTTTTCCTGGAGTTCCAAGGCCAGCCAGGGACCAAGATTGTGATTTCTTGGCTATGTCTGCTATGAGTGAACGAGCAAGGAGTTGGGGTCTGGACTAAGTATATGCGTTCCTTTTGAAAGAGATACATCTCAGGAGAGGATTTGTTCTGTTGAAAATGAGGAGTCCAGGGCTAGATATGCTACAGCAGCAATCAAAATCAGAATTCATAGCATTTGATCCAAATCTTGTAATCTTTAGTTTTGTAGGACGCCAAAGAGTATGTTTGAATTGGAATGTAAGCCTTTGCTTTATTTGAGATAAGTCTCACTGTGTAGCCCAGGCTGGGCTCCCAGCTGAAGATTCTGTTCTCCCAGTCTCCCAAGTGTTGGGATTACAGGCATTACAGGGATTACACACAACCACACTTTGCTCTTATTTATTTATTTATTTATTTATTTTAGTACTTACTTACTTTTGTGTGTGTGCTGGTACTTGGCCTTGAACTCAAGGCCTCCCATTCTAGTTTAGCCTTTATGCCCAAAGCTGAGGCTCTACCATTTGATTAAGAGATAAGAGTGTCAGGGGGGCTGGGAAGGTGGCTCAGTGGTAGAGCGCTTGCCTTGCATGCATGAGGCCCTGGGTTTGATTCCTCAGCACCACTTAAGCAAAAAGAAAAAAGCCGGAAGTGGCGCTGTGGCTCGTGGTAGAGCACTAGCCTTGAGCTGAAGAGCTGAGGGACAGCGCCCAGGCCCAGAGTTCAGGCCCACAACCGGACCCCCCCCCCCCAAAAAAAAAAAAAGAGATGAGTGTCAGGGATTTTTCTATTCTGGCTGTTTTTGAATATCAATCCTCAGATCTCAGCCTCCTGAATAGATAGCAGTCACTAGCATCGGCCTTGGTTCAGGGTTTTTAGAGAACATCTTTTCAATGTGCAGTAGGGAAAATATCAAATGGTATGCTTGATTGTGTGAGATTTTTGCCATTGCTCTGGCAGTTCTAAGTGTTTTGTATTAACATATGCAGTTCACAGTTTACCTCTTTGTATAGAAATGCTAGGGTTTTCAGTGAGATGGATAAACTATGGGGGAAGAATTGCCCTTTATATTGAGTCTCCCAGCCTGTGAACATGTTAGACCTTTGCAGTTATTCACATTTTCTTTTTTTCAGGAATGCTTTATGATTTTTAGTTTGCAAGCTTCTTATACCTTTTGTCAGAGATTCATTCTTTTTTTCCTTATTATTATTATTACTATTACTATTTTTGGTGCTGGTCCCAGAGCTGAGTTTCTTTTTGCTCAAGTCTA